ACATATCATGGACAAAATAAAAAATTCTCCTTTCAAGTTTCGTGGTTTACCATGGAACTTTACTCAAACCTAAAAGGTGGGAACTTCAACAGTAAAGAGAAGTTGTCAAATTATCTTCCACTTTTTATCAAACACATAACATGAACAGTAATAGGTAAAGTTCTTTCTTCCTCTTCTAAATCTATATAGTGGGTCGATATCCTGAGTTCCATCAAAATTAGAAATATGTGCCCCCACAAGTCATGGTTCGGTGTTGATGTGAAATAATTCAAGTAGTAAAATAGTTCCAAATAACTTGGTGAAACTAAGGATGTTTGATGGAAGTATCTACACTTGAGAATGTTCGACATCTTGTGGACTTGAAAAACGGTTTAATTTCTCTTTCTTTGTTGGATTCCGATGGCTATAAGTGTTTTGGCTTTTAAGCAATTTAAAGCTAAAATTGAGTACAGTACGAGGCGCCACACTATGACTTTACAAACTGATAATGGGTAGGAGTACGGTTCAGATGAGTTCATAAAATTTTGTAAAGATGAAATAATCCAGAGGTAGTTCACCGATATCTACACTCCCTAACAAAATGGTGTTTCAGAAAGGACGAATTATACACTTATGGAGTGAGCTAGAAGTACGTTAAGCAATGGTAGTTTGGAACAAGAACTATGGGCAAAAGCCATGATAACAGCTTGTTATCTCATGTATCGATAGCTTCTATGTCTTTAGGGGATAAAATACCTCAAGAGATATGGTCCAGAACCCCTAATGATGCCTATGTTAGAATTCTTAATTGCCAAAGGAATAAATTTGAATTAAAATCAAAGAAATACTTTTCTGTTGGGGATAACAACGGCATGAAAGGATACCGATTATAGGATCCAAGTGCATAGAAAATAATTACAAGCTAGTGATGTGCAGTCTGATGAGTCTGTATTGACAAGAAGTTTAGGAAACTAGACTAAATAAAAAAATGAAGCTCGAAATGGCACCCAAGAAAACGAAGGCTCAAGAATCCAAACTTACCTTGATGTAGAAGTAAAAGGCTCTTTCAAGTCCCAAGACCAACCATCAATTGAACTAGAAAGGAGTGGCGTGCCTACTCTATCTCTCCAACTCTAATTCTAAATCTCAAGAAGCCACACGTTGGGAGTTATTTTTCTCTCACTCCAAGAACTTTGAGGTTTAAAGATGAGAGGTATCCACAAGTCTAGGGTTTTTTAGTTTGCCGTTAATTGGATTGAATTAAAATAACTCAAGATCTTAGCCTTTTAATCAACACGTAGCTATCATAGATGTATGGCTTGGATTTTTCCACTTTTATCTTCACATATGTAAAAAAAAAGAACTCCACATTTCTCAAATAAATTAATTTTAAAAATCATTAAAATATTTTCATAATTATCTCTTTTGTCAGGAATTTAGTGGACAATAGATTATTCTTGGATATACAACCCTAATGATGAACTTAAAATTTTCTACTCCAAAAAAAAAAAAAGTATCCATAAAATATCATTACAAATTTAGAAATTACATTAATGATAACTTATTTGAAAGTTTTAAAAATGACATGTTTGTAGTTTTAAATTACTTATCAAATTCAGTGATAATTTTAAAAGTCAAATAAATATTTTAAAATTTGAAATTGACTTTGAAGGATTTTGATATGATAAAAATAACCTTCCTAAAAATTATGAATTAGATATACTGAAGTCATTTTGTGATATATAAAGATATTTTATGGTAAAAAATCCTAGAGTAAGAAATTTCAAGTTTACCATTAGAATAGTCTATCAAAACCCCATACCTAATTGTCGTTGTTTTAATATGTAATAATTAATAAATAGGTGCAGTTTGTATAGAGCCAAGGCTCTAAACAATTAAAGTAAATTACACTTTCAAATAGTGTCGAGAAATGTAGTTTCAATATTCAAAATTTTGTGATAGCTTTAAAACATATTTTTATTTTTAATTATAAATTTTAAAATTCAAAAATAGTGTAGGTCGAGCAGATATATAAAAACTTGAAATCTTGAAAATTAATGTGCCAAAAATGTGTTACAAGATACACTATTTTCAAAACTTGAAATCCATTTTTTTCTCTTGTCCATGCATCTTGATGTCGAGATGATCAATTTAAATATATTTGAGCATCAAAAACAACATCTTCTAAGGAAATTTTTGAGGTAGGCGCTAACTTGATTGGTTAGTGCCGGCTCTATACAAAATTTTCCCTTGATAAATATAAACTCAAGTTATACATAATTTTAAAACATAAATACATTAATGTTTATTTATAAATGATGAAGTTGAAATAATTTCTAATATAAATATAAAAAATCATTGACCATGTTTTTAGCCGTAACCTAAATATTCATTTTCAATTTCTTGTAAATTACTCCCTATTAGCCTTATCAATTATAATAAGAGTAATGATCCTATGAGACCCTCTCATACCCATGTGTGTAGGATTCCAAAGGATCACCATTAAATTTGACACAGATCTCTAGAAAAATCGAGTCTTACATCGATGTGATAACTTTTCTAGAGATCTGTATCAAATTTAGTGGTGATCCTTTGGGGTTTTACACACATGAGTGTGACAGAGTCTCATAGGATCATTACTCTTATAATAAATATCAATTCTTTAGAATTTTTCTAAATAAGGTCACGTATCTATTTTCAAAATCAAATTGCAGATTTTGCTTGCCAATTATTTTCCCATAACGAGAGTATTTTAGGTAGGGGTGGTAATATTTGACTCGGGACCCGTCAGGTATACCGGACATGGGTCCGGGTACAAGTCCAACATTTGGATATATTAAGAATTGTATACAATAAGAACATGTGGTCATCTTTAGCTATTAAACTACAAATTATATAGCTTGAAATCTAATGATGAGTGATTGTGGCTTTATTGCCAATAATACGAGTATACGATGGTAAAAAAAAAAGACAACAAAAAAGAGAAGCTCATGATGAAGGTGGCCAAACGCAAGACAGACTCGGGACTCAACGGGTATGGATATAGTCTAACTTTTAGACATGACAGGTTGGGTTCCGGTCTAAAACCTAGACTAGACCCGAATGCTATTCTAGTGGATCCCGACCCGACCCGACCCGTTGCCACCCCGAATTTTAGGGGCATAATAACGGAAGCAACGAAATATCGCGTTAAGTTGATTTTATCGGGAACTATTAGATTGATTTTCGGCATTGGCAATGTGACTTATCGTTATAAAATATGGGAAATAGTTGTCACCGAGGGAAATGTTGAGCAAGAGGGTGCGATATCTCGAGTTGCAGAAGAAGAGAGAGAGAGAGAGAGAGGTTTTAGAGAGATGTTGTTCCAAGTTGGTGGACATGGAAAGAGGCCCACTTTCTTTGAAATGGCCGCTACCCAACAGCTTCCCCCAAGTCTCAGAGCCGCCTTGACATACTCTTTTGGGGTACCCTCCTCCTCTCTCTCTCTCTCTCNTCTCTCTCTCTCTCTCTCTACTACTACTACTACTACTTACTTTACTTTACTTTACTTTACGTTTACTTTACGTTTACGTTTACGTTTAGTTAGTTAG